AGAATGGTATTAGCAGAGGGAGTAGTAAGAAGAGGCCAAAGAAAAGAGAAAACCTGAAGATCCGACACCGCTCTCCTTCGACGATCCCGATCCGTCACCACCCTCCCTCGCTGGACGCCGCATATGATGTCACCTCCTCATCTGAGGCGACGAGGCCTCGGCGACTTCTCCTCATCCGCGCGAGGAGAGAAGAAGCCTCAGCGACGGGGAGAAGCGGTTTCTTCTCCCCACGCAGGCAGAAGGAACAAGGCTTTTTTTTTTGCTTCTTTGAGCGAGGAGAAGGAACCCTCAATTTCTTTTTCCGTTTTTTTTTTGTTCGGGGAAACCGAGCGACATTACCTTTCTCCTTTTTTTTTGCACAGGGAGAAGGAAACGATTTCTTCTCCCCACGTAGGTAGAAACCGAGCAACATCGTCTTTTTTTTCGCGCAGGAAGAAGGAAACATCCTCCTCACGCGGGTAGAGCGCGAGGAGTATCAAGGCGACGTAGTATATATATATATACACCGAAATATACCGCTCGATATACTTATACCGTAACATACTGAGCTGAGTTCGAAACTTCGATACGGTACGAAATTACGAACCTTGGTTAATTTTACCTTTTAAATCATCTATCAGATTGGTCTAGATCTAAAAAGAAGAAAAATCTATTTGTAAATATAGTTAACATAATTTTTCTGGAAGATAGCCTTGCCTATGGCCTTTAACCAAACCGATACAATCCCAATCACAAGCATCAACCAACCTATAAACCAATTAGCCATCACTTCATATTTGACAAAGATGGGTCAACTTGCAAACTTTGTAGAACTAACCCAATTTGTCATTTGTGTGTCATAATAGCATGTGACATGTAACTCATCATTTAGAGTTTGATCACAATAAGTTGTTACAAATCTGCACGAAACCAACACTCAACCAGTCAATTGGGTTAGGATGAGATATAGAGAAAAGAGAGAAGCTAGGGGAAAGTAAAGGCTACTAATAAAAAGGAAAGGAGATAAGAGAAAAAGGAAAAACAAAACGAAAATCAAAGCTGTAATAAAAAGAATAGTAGTAAGAGAAAGCTCGTAAGTATATTTCTATACATATACAACAATAATACGTGGAAAATGGTGGCAGTAAACTTTAATGCTAAAATATAGAAAACTAATTTCTCATAACTTAAATCAAAAAAATTGATGAATTTAATCAATTTCTATTTAAGTGAGTTGGATCCGCACAGCAAGAGGCTTAACCAAGATCAAATTAGATTAAACTCATTTATAATCAAGTGATCTATATGCATCGATGCTGGTACACAAGTTAGCTATGGGTGTCCAAGCAATAGTCTCAATTCACACACTCCATTAAGGAGATATTAATAATTTGTCATGTAGGCAGATTAACCAAGACACATAGTTCAAACTTCAGAGGAAGAAAAAGTAAATGGATTCCACATGGCTATATGGCCCCTCAAGGCACCAACATCAATGTATATAAATCATTTGATCACAGATGAATCTAATTGAATTTAGTCTTGTTAAGCCCCATAGCTCTTCAGATCCAACCCACTCACAGAAAATTTGATTAAATCAATCAATTTTCTCATTGATTTAAGTTATTAGAAGTTATTTTTTTTGAAAGCATTAAAGCTGCATTAAAGAAAGTTTTTGCACTGCTACCTTTTTCTACAAATTATTGATGCATACATATACACAAACTTTCTCATACTGCTCTTTTTTTTAATCACAACCTGTAATTTCCTTTTTCTCCTACTCTTTTTCTTTTCACAGTATTCACTTTCCCCTACATTCTCCTTTTTCTTTTTCTATATCCATTCAACCCAATTGATAAATTGAGTGCAAGCCAAACTTATTGCAACTTATTATGATCAAACTCTAAATGATAAACTACAGGCCACATGATATTGCGGCAGATGATAAGTTGAGTAAGTTCTACAAGGACTGTAAGTTGACCCATTAGTATCGGTTATAGATCAATTGATGCTAGTGGCCAGAATTGTATCGGTTCGACTAAAGGCCATGGACAAGACTATCTTCCAACATGATACAGTGCTGTAGCAAGTTATCACCGATCTTTCTTTTTTTTAGTTTTACTACTAGTGCAGAAAAATTATTCTAACTACATCACCAATGGATTTTTCCCTCTTTATAGACCCAAACTAATCTGATACATAATTTAAAAAGGTAAAATTGAAAAAAATTCAACTTCAAAATATGACTTCCTCCTCATGATCACGGATCATATGAAGATGATATGTTCAATATCCTTTACCTTAATATAAATAATCAAAACATAATAGATCACTATGCATGATATGAAGTGTCAATAGAAAAGGAACAAGATCTTATCTTCAAAATCAATGAAAAAAGAATAAAAAGAAAAAAAGAGATAAGATCCCTAACTTTGTTTTTTGCAAGTGATGTCTTGGCATCTCCCCTCCTTCCTCGATAGTTGCACTTTCTACCATGAGAGAAGAGGATGACAGCTATAAATAAAAAAGGATGGGGTTTAACCCTAACCCTAAATTCACTCATGATATCAAATTATCAATTTGCCCCTAATTAAAATTAGGGTACTGCAGTTCCACCTCCCTTCAAAAAAATTGGCCCTCCAAATTTCACTAAAAATGTTGCTATTGCATTACTCTAACCTCATATTTTTATTTCTTTTTCTCAACAAAAAAATCTAGAACCTTAAGAGAGGTAATGGATCCCATAATCATTCAGCTCCTCAAAATCGTTGCTCTAATACCATCTCTTTCACACCACAATTTGACTTTAGATCCGAGTTAGGTCAAATCAGGGTGTGTCATCAAGTCTCCTCCAGTTACAATGTGGAAGTAAACTGAGGTGTTATAATCTTTTCAACCTAAGACTTGGCATCCTCATCAACACTCAAACATAGCCTAAAATCAAACTCGAATATAGTACACATGGCGTGCCCCGTGCCAACTATAATAATGTTTGTCATAACTCGACCTGATGGAATAAGCAACCCACTAACTTGATAGATTTATAAATACAAGAACAAAAATGATTAAATCTAAGTTAATAGTAGTTCACTCATTAATATGAATAAATTCAAGTCTTCTCTCACTTTCGATGTGGAACTAAAGTGCTATAATTTATCGTTTTCTTCCAGAGAAGCATTTAACAAGATCAATTAGTAGAGATTTCTAGACATAGTAAACACTTGTACCTAGAAATTTTAAACTTGTCTTTGAAATTAATAACTTATGTTTTGGGCAGTAGTTTCCATGTAAATCAAGTGGAATATAAATCTCATAAGCTGATCGATTTTTGCCATATCCTTGCTCTATCAGGCTATCAGCAGGTTGAAGCCCTCTTGGTGAATAAATCTCAAGTTCAAAAATCAACTTCTCAGACACTTATTGTAGTTTGCACAGTGTTCATAAACGCACTATGTGCTGTAGAGATACAATTTCATACATGAAAGAACATAATTTCAGATCTTTGCTTAGAGATCTGATCAATTAATACATCAGAACAAGTCATCCAAATTAAATTTAAAAAATCAATCAACTGAAAGCACCTTGATAAGATTAGCGTTCAGAACGAAGTGCTGCAATGAATTAAACTTAACAGGAAAGATTAAATAGCAAGATATTTTAACAAGCTTAATATCTTATATGGGCATGCTTCATAACATATCACACAAATAAGAATCCATAGAAAAACTAAATCACCATACAAGAAAAAAATTTAACACATACATTGTCAAAGGGAAAACATAGTAAAAATTATATTCTGCAACTCACTCTTCCAGCATCCAATAACTCCGTCTTTGGAAATTTACGTTCTCTTCACCATGGGCATAATAGCAATGAAGCACCTCAACACTTCCAGCCTGAAAATCAGTCCATTTATGAATATATGGATTCCAAAAAATATCTCATTCTTAAAATAACAAATATGACACATTCTACCGAACAAAAAGATTTGAAACCATATAAGTGTACCATCTCATGAAGTAGTTAGCCACAAATACCACTGTCGAGCACCATTCAAGCACCAAAATTAAATTATGGGCACTAGAACTCAGCTGAGGTTCAGGCTTTATGACATCATAATTAAATAATTACAATATTTCTCATACCCAGATGAGGTGTTCATGTAACAATGATGTTGTATTGGACCTTAGTAAATCATGTGTCACACATCTTTTTTATTCTGATCATCAAAACTATTTAGTGTAGTTTTCTCATTTCAGTAATTCTAGATGTGTTCTTGCCTTGTTCATTTTTGAATCAATCCAATCTATTCTGATCCTAAGTCAAAAAAATGTCAATCCTGGTTGCACTATTTCATACCTTCCCAAGAATGTACGTCTACAGAACATAAAAACATATATTAAAGAACTATAAATAGAAAGATACACAGGAAGCATATAATGCAGGTCATGATTATAAATTTTCCTAGATGAAGTGATTGTTTGTGCACAAGTAACACACTTGAAATTAAGATTTAATTGGAAGTTTAGATAAGCCACAAGATATACAACAGTGCAATTCTTCTCCAACCAAAATGAGTGGACATAAATTTGCCATTCTGCCAAATGCAAGAGAACTATGACAAAAGCCTGAGCCTATACTCCTTGTCCTCCCTCCTGAGTAGATGTTAATTAAGTAAGCATTTAGATACCAATGTACTGGAGTTTTTGTCTGATAACAGATACTCAAGAAATTGGAGACAATTTGTTACTAAAGAACTTTTCTTTCTCAAAGAATTTTTCAAATTTGATTCCTCTGATACTCGGTTCTATAATTATTAAGAATGATTGCAAAGTCAATTACAAATTTTTGTATATTCATTTTTTGTAATTTATGCACAACAACAAAACATAATGTTACAATTATTTGGTACCAGCTACATGATTTTTTCGTAGTTAAAACAAGAACAAAGAAATCTCTTTTTTATTAGATCTAGAAAAAATTTTGTATGTCACTCTCCAGCTCTTGTTACACCACTAATAATAATTGTCTCATCTCAGCTTCTATTTCAAATGATTTTTCTTCATTCATCCTATATCAGGGCTGCTTCTAACAGTTTGTAAATGAAATTTTTTTCTTATTCTATCTTTTACATTACCAACAAATGCATCGCGACACTCTCATCTCAACTACACTAACCTTTTTGCAAGATATTTATAAATTGCCTAATGCTCCAGTCCAGAAAACATGAACAACCTTTTAAATGTCTTACAAGTTTTCCTTTAGATATAAGAATCTTACAATGCTCACACAAGACTCACAATGCCTCTATGTGGTTTAATTGTTAACATTTTCAGAGAAGAAAGCAATATAATCAAGGCAACATAACTGCTGTGGCCTGTTTGTACAACAGCACGCACATCATAATAGATACAACTGAATGTCAGAACAGAACAGCACAGTGAAAGGCCTAACCAACAAATATACAATTATCAACTCTTTGGGTAGAACATGCCGAAGGCATCAAATTAATATCACTTACTTTTAGTCTCTCATGAGCTTCTTTCACAGTCTTCCCATCTTTTTTCTTTCTCCAGTTATGACCATCCTTCCTAAAGTATCTCAATACTTTGCGATCAAATAGAAAAAGAGAGCCACCTGGAAAAAGAATAAAAATTTGTTGCACATCTGAGAACGACTATCATGAAAAAGTACACAAGGAATTTGTATACAACTGAATGATTAGTTGAAAGAAAATACTTCCACAATAATTGATGAATGTGGTTGAGCTAGATAAACAAAATCAACATGAATGGAACTTGTGGTAGAAGGTCATACTAGGTGGTTTATTTGGTGGCTCTGGCGCAATATGAAATTTCCTATAGTTCCGAAGTATTTCACAAATTTCAGCAGGGCGTAACCAGCGATGTTGTGCTTCCAGAAGGATCTGTTCGATATCTGAACATGAATAGGGAATCACCAGATCATCAAAGAGATATATGAAGATGTTATCAGCCATGTAAAAGTGGCTAAAACAATTATGCAGTCACCAAGTTTTATTCAGCTAATGACCTTAAACCTATGCTTGAAACTTGGTACTGATTAAAAGAACAAAGTAATTTCTAAACTTTAGAATGCACTATTGAGATGCATGGGGTGAATGGTTAGTTGTACACAAAAATGAAACAGGCCAAATAGGTTGCTCGACTGCAGAAAAGAAGTGATCAAAAAAACAGATAGAACATATTTTTAGCATCTTATGTAAAAAAGTTATGTTATATATTTACATGACTCAATATATTTACATTGCGTTCCCTGGGGAGAAGATCCTCCCGGATAAGTACCTCCGCAAAAAAATAAAAAGAAAAAAGATCTTTCCATAACTATACATAAGAAAAATACCCTCTGAATTGCTGCAAAAGTTATTCTATTTAACTTTTTCCTGGCATCAGAAAAAGAAAAAAGATCTTTCCATAATTCAAGCAAACGAGGTTCCTCTGCATGATCCACGTCCACAATGGCTAGAAACTATCAATCATTGACGATCGATGACCATCAAATGTGCAATGTAATCAACTTGTTTAGTGAACTACAGGCCATGGAGAAATGCAGCTTGAAGCACCATAACCAATTGAATCAGACTCTCTCAGACGTTCACCAAGATAAAGCCTGTCCTTTTAACAAAACCAGATGATCATTACATGCCTGTACAATTGTTGGATTATCAGTTTAAAGTGAAATCACAACATTCCTTTAGATGCCGCCCTATATACTCAACATTTCTGTCAAATCTGCTGTTACTCCCTATCATACAAGGTTTCCTGATCTTCCTGCTACCACTTCAGCCATACGTCAGCCAATTTCCCGTTTATAACAAGCGAAGTTAAACCAACGTTAACATTTTAAGTAAATGTTTCCCCACATCCCATCCATCATCCACAGTTTATATGACCGGGCTCACAGAATTTGTCCACAAAAACAGCGACTATTACCACCATGTGGGCCAAGGTCTATTATTAGCCGCTTCACAATTAGCTTACGCACATGAAAGAGCCAGGACAGACAATTAGAACCCTGAAAGATTACCAGAGAACACATACAAAGCAAAAACACAGGATTTTCAATATGTAACACTAGGAAAAACAAACATCGGGGTAAGATATGTCAAAAAGACGCTTACCAACATTATGAACCGAGTAAATAAAAAAAAGGGAAATGATAAGGAACCGTATTATTACCGAGTTGAGGCGTCAATGAAAACAGCCTGGTCTCCGCCATCGATTACCCACAAAAATTCAGAGATCCGAAGCTTGATCTGGAAACCCTAGCGCTCCTATAGCGCTTCTAACATCGGAATCAGAAGCGCTGGAGCCGATGAGTGCAGTAGAGGTACCGCGGGATCGGTTAATCGCAAGGATCAAAGAACGGGAACGAATCGACGATTACACTGTCAGGATCTAGAGGGATCCACAAGAGAAGGATTGGGCATTCTGCTTCGCAGGAGGAAGAGATAAAGATTAGATAGGGGGAAAGAGAGACCGATAGGAAGACCGAGAAAAGCCGCCGAGTTGGAACAAATGGGAGCGTCGATGGCGCCCATTTGACGGAAAGGCCCCTCGGTGCCCGAAGATGTTACTGCCACGTCGCCACGGGGCTTTGCCGTCCGTTTACGGCGTCCCGAAAGTAAAACCGTCACCGCATGCGATACGTAAGTGAGGAATATGGACGGTGGATCATGCGATCGCATACCAATAACTATGCGGAAACAAAGACTCCGTGGTGGCCGTTACGCGACGAGTCGTTTTCGGTCACGTGAATCGTCAAAGTCGCGGCGAGTGGAGTCCAGCTTGAAGACGTACTAAAACGAGAGAGATTTCTTTGGAGCTGCTTGTGGACACCGTCGGTGAATCTATCTTGCGAAGATCCCTAATCTTCTCCTTAAAGCATCTCCATCTTCCGATAATTAAACAAATTAAAAGAATATTCGCCGAATCCAATATACGACTGATACATCAGCATCTTGTTAAGTATTGACGCTTCGTATTATTTTGACCCGGTCAACGTATTTTAATTGCAATGTCTCCCAATAAAATAACGTCTTATTCCAAAGGGAAACAAATATTTAGGATAATATGGAATCAGTGCCTTGCAGCGTTGACTGAGGCGGCTAAAGTGAGTCGTGTTTGGGATGACGAAACTGAAAATTGTATATATATATATATATATATATATATATATATATATATATATATATATATATATATATATATATATATATCGATAACGAATATTAAATTAACAATCTAAATACATAAAAACTTTAAATAGATACATTGATAGCCAAAAATGATAATAATTGGATAAAGAAGTAGATACTTAAGTACATCCAAATATAGATATAAGTACTTAAATAATTGAGTTCAGATTCAAAAAAGCCTATGGGGATCAGATTTTTATTTTTTTAGATCAGCATGTAATTATCCTCCATTTAATGAGAATTATGTGTCACTTAATGAGGTTGGAATAGATATTGGTTGGTACTAAAGTTCGAAATCGTATATAGTTATTGGATAATAACCTTCATTTTTAAAATGATAAAAATATCCTCACTAATAATTGATAATTTTAAATTTCAAATTTCTCGCAAAGGCCCAGTCAGATGGAACCAATCAAATCGGTTCAGTGTTAAACTAAACTGCTTACAATATTGTTATATAATATTTTTTTATCAATCTAAATGATCACAATATTTTTAAATGAGGTTATAATATATTTTTTGGTATGAACTAAGAACGTTGTGGTCCTATTCAAAACAGTGTGACAATTAATCTAAATTCTCATAAAATATTAATTATTAACTTTATCATATGTATTAAAGTTTCATAAAATATTTTTTTTGAGATTTCTTGAGTGATTTTGAATAAAAATTAAGAATATTATTTCAAAATAAAGGATGACCATTTTTTAAAATAACTTAAATTTAGAGATGTAACTTTTAAAAATAGTTTTAATTGTTTATTAAAATAAATAAATAAAAATTATTAATTATAGTGTGGCTCCATGGTTATTGGTATAGCTCATCTAGAAACACAAAAAATGACTCACTTTCACGACCCTCACGATCAAAATATATACATATGATAAAAAGTCATCGCTCTCATCAATAATATATTATTGATTCTAATACCCATCCTGAGGGGACCAGACGAACCATTCGTTGATCCACCTTAACAATCAAAGTTAGGAATATTATCTTTTCAATATGTGATAACTCATTTCACTCTCTTCTTCATTGGCGATATTAGTTTCCACCTCATCGATCGATAAGTAATCCAATTTTGAGGGATGCAACAAAAACTCCTCTTCTCCCTTATGGGTGTAAGGACTTGTCATTCTCGATGAGCTCTCGACAATGAATGCGTATATTTTGGTGTGGTTCACCTCATTTGGAATGTACGAATATTATATAATTTAATATATTTTTAGAAAACCATTATAATTCTAATAAATAATTTATAATTCAGTTTAAATTAATTTTAAAAAAATTACTAATAATAAATATTAATTTCACTATACCTTTAGAAATTATTAATATGGGAATTTGATTAATTTAGAATGAAAATTATGAAGGTATTGGTACATGATAAAATATATTTTTTTCACATTATCTTATATTTATATCAATATTTTTTAAATTATTATATTTATAATTATTTATTATGAATGAATGATAATAAAATAAAAATAAAAATAAAAAAGAGATCTTGTGGAACCGGAAAAGCAAACCATTGTCAGATACTTAAGAGGTCTGGAATATGATATTGCTAAAATGATTCAACTGTATTCATATTGGTATTTAAATGATATAAGTAAACTGACATTAAAAATTGAAAAGGAACAAAAGTTTGAAAAGAGTTTTTTGTACTGTTCAAAAAAAAGGCTTATACAAAAGAAAGAAATTTCAAACCTATTGTCTAAAGTAAGATGATATCGAAGATGCAAGAAAATGACGAAAGATCAACAAATACCTAATTCTTCTATCCCAAGTGACTAAAAGTTTTTCAAATATCATAGTTTTGAGCCTATTGCTTCGAATAAACACCTAAATTAGTCTGCAGATTTCATAAGTTAATTTGAAAAATTAGAATTTGACCTCTAACTAAGTGGACCTCCAACTTTACCGATCCACAAATCATCTTTGCCTTATTGTTCATGTTGATCTTACAATATACTACGTAGAGATATGGTATACTAAGGTCTGGTCATGCTTCTTTTGCTTCATAGGTTGGCATTCATTCTTTGACACTTCATAATGGGCCGAGGAAGTGCCCGCAGGATGAGGTAGTGATGATGAAAATAAGATGGATCATGTTGACAGGAGGTCAGAACTGCTCGGATTTAGTCTATTACTTTTCTTTTTTGATGAATTATTTTATATCTTATTTAACTATTTTTTTTTTATTGTTGTTCTAATGCGCTTGTTGCTATATGTTGATATCACAAGTTGCCATATGAAAAGGATCCCTGCATTGATGCCATTTTCATGGCCTAGAAAATTAGTCAGATGCATGATAAGCTTGTCAAATAATTTTGTTTATTTGGTTATAATTTTCTGGCTGCAGGCAAAAGCTCATAAATCTGGAGTTAATGTTTTAAAACATGCTGCATCTTTAGTCCCACATTGAAAGCAGCAAAATAATGAAGAGGAAAAAGCAGTACAAAGGGAGAGCGAAGCTAATGCGGGTGAGTCATATCTTTTCCGGCCATTTCGCAAAGATCAAGTGTACTATATGTAGGTCATCGACTCATTATGTATTAAATTAATTTTTCTTAAGAAATATAAAATTAATTTCTCTTTAGTCAACAGCAGACTAATGCAGGAAATATGACAGTACAAAAGGAGATCGATGTCAACCCTTCTCATCAGTTTAATATTTGAAACGTGGGTCATCGGGGCTCATTATGATATTAAATTAATTTTTCTTAGGAAATATTAAATTAATTCCTCTTTACTAAGAACCATAATAATAAACTGATGAGAAGGGTTGGCATCGATCTCCTTTTCCTGCATTATTCTGCTGTTGACTAAAGAGTAATGCAGGATCTTTCTCGATCTTTTAGCTAAGATCAAGTCAGCAACAGAATAACGCAGGAAATATAGCAGTACAAAAGGAGAGCGATGCCAATGAGGTGAGTCATATCTTTCTCGGCCTTTTAGCTAATTAGCTAAAATCATGTCTAGTATCTGTTCTTATCAGTTTAATATCTGATATGTGGGTCATCATCGATCCATTATGATATTAAATTAATTTTTCTTACGAAATATTAAATTAATTCCTCTTAAGTCAGCAGCAGAATAATGTAGGAAATATAGTAGTACAGAAGGAGAGCGATGCCAATGGTGTGAGACATGACATAATTTTCGTGGCCTTCTGACTAAGATCGAGTGTACTATCTATTCTTATCAGTTTAATATCTGATGCCCACCTGATTCCTTTTCAGGCTGATGACGGTGACAAACACAATCAGGGAGTAGTCGATATTTTTGTTACACTTAATTCTTGGAACTGCAACTGCATTTCCAGTATGATACAGGTTTATCTATGTACACCAAACATAGTTCTCTTCCCATGCACCTTGATGTTAAATCTTCCGCTGGAGGATCAAGACTGCTGTATAGGGAACTTGGAACATGCAAGCTCTGGTCCTGATGGTTTCTTATCATGATTTCTCTGAGGCATCTTCGTCAATCATTTAAGGTGATTTCGTTTAACCTTTTCAAAGTAGTTCTTTGATGGAGCACTCTTCATTGCTTATCTACGGAGCATCTGTCATTCTTATTTACTCAGTGATCAAACTTCTATCCAAAGCCTATTCCAACAGGCTGAAAAGGGTATCAAAGTGTATAAAAAAGTGAGAGAAAAATAAAAGGAAGATGAAGGCTGTGTGGCAAAATAGCAAAATATATCTTTATCGGCTTTTGGCTAAGATCAAGTGCAGTAAATGTTCTTATCAGTTTAATATCTGAAATATGGATTATCGACCTATCGTGATATCTGATACATGGGTTAATCATGGTAGCTTGCTCTTTTGCGTTCCACAACTATACGGGCTTTAGTGTACGCCGGCTTAGGCTTGTCTCACAGTGAATCCAAGTTTTGTTGACTCGAAAGGTACCACCATCCTCGCTACCATGATCAACCTCTCTACCTTTCCTCCACTTAATTCTGAACTGCCACTGCATTTCCAATTGATACTTGTTGGTTTGATCTATACACGTGAAACATTGTTCTCTTTATCGCCATACAGTTTTGAGGCTCTAAGTTCCATAAAGCTGTCGCTTACCTCCACTGTAATCACCTCCTTATCACCATGCACTATTTACGTTAGCAGAAACTCTCTCTCTCTTACATGGAAACTAGTGTTCTTCTAAATGTTATACCAAGAAGATGGTTGTTAGTGTGGAGACTTTGTCTCTGCATCCGACCTGCTGCTTGGCGAGCGCTGGCTTGCAGATATCGGTCTTTTCTGACGATTCCTGTTGCACAAGATAGGTTTTACAATGCCATTCAGATGATGCAATTCCACCAGCTTATTGACGTCAAATTTATTCTCCAGCTTTGGCAATATCTCTTTGTAGGTAGAGTTCATATCTTTAGTCCCACATCGCTGGGAGCGGAGCGAAGTACAAGTGAGGAGAGTATAAAATGAGGTCGATGGGTTCATTCCAAATCATACCTTTCTCGGCCTTTTGGCTAAGATCAAGTGTAGTATCTGTTCTTATCAGTTTAATATCTGATACGTGGATCATCGATCCACTATGATATTAAATTAATTTTTTGTTGGGGGAGGGCCCATCACGGGAGCTTGCTGCCGGGGCCCTCGCGCGTCGCCCATGCGTTGCGCTACTGCACGGGCCTGGCGCACCTGACTAAAACTTAATCCAAATTCCACACTTCCTCACCCAATTCCGCTTCTCGGATGGTTTCATGATGTGCGACGTCGTCTCTCCTCGTATGGCTATGCTGGCTGACATAGTTGTTGATCGGTGATCAGAGGATATTAGAGTATGCCCTATCAACTCGCTCCCATCTCGAACCGATAGCCAAGATCTCGCCATCCTCTCCTCCGTCAACGCCCATTGATCCCTCCCTCGCTATGGTCCCCACTGACGTTCATGATCACCATTCCACTGGAGTCATCGGAGTCGACCCCCTCCCCCACTTATGCGGGTTCGGATGAAGCAGCAATTTCTCCCGCATCGAAGAACAAAGACATCTTCCTTACTTTTCTCAATCCCTTTTTTTCCCTTGTCAAAATTATTACCGAAAATTATTCCAATAATTAGGCTTCGGGAGAAGAGCCGAATTCTTGGTTTCTTGGTTTTCCTCATCCAAATTCCCTCCGCCTTCCAATCTCCGATGGGCAGCTGTGATCCATTCTCCTTTTACTCTTTTTCTTGAAATATTTTATTTTTCTAAGGGTGAATTTCATTAAAAGAAATCTAATTTTTATAAATTTCTTATAAAGCATCATAAGTTTAAAACATTTTTTACCTTCGAAAACGATTCTACCAATATCATTTTAAAAAATTTCTACCCCATCCTAGTTACGCTTTGGCTACACTAGCCCTGGCTATGCTTTAGCCCTTCCGATGGCTCCTTGTGCGTGGTCGCCTCTTCTATTATTCTTTGTTCATCCATTGATCTTCATTATCACCGTTGGTCACTAAAGTAAGCTTTCCATGATCCTTCCACACTCATATTGACAATGAGAATAGGGGGTTGTGTGGTCTTCGTTGGACCCTGGCCCTCATCATCGTTACTGTAGAAATATCGTACAACATCACTTGCGCCCTATTATTATTTACCGTGAAGGTGTCTGTTGCTTGCACTCTTACTCGTGCGTGGGCGATGAGAGCCTCTCTCCATTACTAGTCTAGCAAGGTACAGTGAGGGTTGCTGTGCCTTCGTCATGGATGGGTTTAGTGAAAGAATGCAACATAAAGGGGTGATCGATAGGACAACAATGCTAGGCTCAGTAGAGAGTGATGGTTGATGAGGACAAGGTGATTATTTTTATAAAAAAAGAGCATTCTATAAAAAAATTTCAAATTGGGATGTTATTTGAAAATTTCTGAAACTTAAAGATTTTTTTTTTAAAATTATCATTTTTAATAAAGAGATTATTATCAGAATTACTCACTGTCATCCAAATTATCTCCAGCCGTCCGATCTCCATAGACCAGCCACCGTGTACTAACAAAGCAGGGTATTGTGGTCATTTCGTCCGGTAGCAGGATAGCGGGGGAAGGAGGGTGAGGCCGGGGAAGCGTCGTGCCCAGAGAAGGGAGGACGATGTGCGGGTGAGCGTCCAATGCAGCTGTGGCATCCTTCGCGAGGTGGTATTTCGCCGACATTGAGACAGAGCGAAGGCGACGGGTGGCGTAACCACCGCTCTTCCTCGAGCAATATTGTGCTTCCTCCGGGCATCTCTGCATCGAACGCTTGGTGATGTGATCTTCTTCCTTCTGTTCTCCTCCATTTGAACTGCTTACATTCCAACTCTAAACGATCTGTCTCAGAACTCTTCGTTTATATCAAAATTAGTTTTCTCGATATGAATGTAACTCTCATCGATAAGCAATCAAACCGATCCGACTTCCATTACAAGTCACACCCGAACCTGTATCGATACTACTACAAATCGATCGGTTTCGTGCTAATATACGCATTATATATATAGATTAATAGATATGCCAAATGACGACAAAATATATTTTTCCTTAGTTTGCAGGTCAAGTGTTGGTCAACAAAACGGAGTTTAAAAAGGAGTTATAAGATGCAATTTTGCTGTTAAAAGTTCCTAGAGTTCTTAATGCATAATGAACCAATATATTATGCTATCAGAGAAATAATTACAGAGATTTATCAAGACTGCACTTTGGTTATAATCAAACACATTGTCTATACAATTATTATATTCAACCATAATTGTGGTGCTAAGACATGCTCTAAGATGGTTTTGCAGGTAACAGCTTAGAAGACAAAATCTGCATCAACCACAGTTTCAAATATTTATTTTTTTTTGTCATTCAACATACGATTCCTATTTACTAGATATATATATATATATATATATATATATATATATATATATATATATATATATATATATATATATATATATATATATATATAAA